CGGAATAAAACTGCTCCAGGCCTTGATGTAATAAATGTTAATAACCTCCGTACTATCTGGACTTCTCATCCTCATTTTCTACTTTCTATATTTAACTCCTGTTTAAATATTGGCTACTTCCCAAGAATATGGAAAGAGGGGAAAATTATATTAATTAACAAAAATGACCGGGACAATAATCTACCGGGTTCTTATAGGCCTATTTGTCTCAATTCAGTTTTGGGGAAAGGTATTAGAAAAATTAATTAATAATCGAATTTACTTCTTTCTCAACTCTAAAACTTTATTACACCATTTACAATTCGGTTTTACTCATAATAAATCTTCAACATTAGCATTGTATCAATTAACAACCCATTTGAAACAAATAAAAGAGCACGGAAAATCTGCTATAATGATTTCTTTAGACTTTACTAACGCATTTAATTTCCTTCGCTTTCCATTAGTACTTAATTTCTTAAAAAAGCACGAATGCCCGTCCAATTTGTTTAACATCATTCAATCTTTTTTCCAATATAGAATCATTACATTTGTTACTCCAAATAAACAAAACATTAGTAAATTAACTAATATTGGCTGCCCACAAGGCTCCCCTCTGAGCCCACTAATGTGGAACATAATATTAACTAGCTTACTAGAGATAAAATTTCACTCGCATACTTACATTCAGGCTTTCGCCGATGATGTGGTCGTGGTAGTGGCGGGGAGTTCACGCCGAGAATTAGAAACGAGATCATCAGACACATTAAACATAATAGGTACTTGGGCTTCACAGAACTGTCTAAATTTTAATTATAAAAAATGTCAATACCTGTTAATTGCGAAAGGCACCTATCTACAGAATAGACCTCCTATCGTATATTTTCAAACCCATAGATTACCCATAGTTTCCCAAATTAAAGTTCTAGGAATAATATATGATTCACACTTATCCTTCCTTCCCCATCTTCAATATATTAAACACAAAGTCCACACACATAGCCAAAATATATCTCGTATATTCTCAACCAATTGGGGACTTTCTTCACAACAATTAAAAGATATTTATATCCGCAGTATAGAAAGATATATCGTATATGGAGCGCCGGCATGGTGGACACCCACAAAGAATTCCCATCTGTTAAGAACTTTAATTTCAATTCAACGAATTCCTTTACTAAAAATAGCGAAAGCATTCTGTACAGTTTCCAATATTAGTCTTCCGGTGTTATGTAATTGCATACCAATAGAGATAATATTAGATATAGAAAATTTTATGTTCCGATTATTCCAACTACATCATATCTCTAAATTTGAAAATGTTACAATTGAACCAAAAGATGTATCTTATCCTATAGATCCTTGGCTAACCCACCCAGCACTTAAATTTCAAATTAATTTCCAAAAATATAACAAAGAACTCTTATCTTCATTGAACAATACGTTGTCACTCTATACAGACGGCTCAGTCTATTTAGATCAAGTAGGAGCAGCTTATGTCATCTTAAAACAGAATGGAGGAATATTAAAGGTAGGTAAATATAATTTGGCCTCTCATAATACTATCTTTGATGCGGAAGCTATAGCAATCTTTAAAGGACTAGAATACTCTCTTACAATTAACGAACATTACCATTTAATAGTCATAACAGATAGTTTATCAGTATTACAAGCATTAGCAAATGCTACAAACCGAAACTCATTAATTAACAACATTAAGAGCTTAATTCAAAAAATTATAGAAAAACGTGCTATTTCCTTCTACCACGTGAAGAGTCACTCTGGGGTCGTAGGTAATGAATTAGCTGACCAGTTTGCTAATTCGGCACGTAGATATGGTGTTTTTCATCCTCTTTCCAGATCAAAACAAAATGTAAAACGTAACATTATAAAATTGGCAAGAAAAAAATGGGACCAAATTTGGCAAGAAAGGGGGCAAACCTCAGAATTAATAAAATGGATTCCGTTCATAACTAATATCCCTTCTAGCTTCCCTCCTTCGTATCATTTAACTCAACTCCTAACTGCACACGGAAGATTCCCTTTTTATTTCCATCGATTTAATATTCAAGACCACACGATATGCCCTTGTGGAGAATCTTGTTTAAATATAGATCATTATCTGAAAGAATGTCAATTAACACAGCGATACAGAAAAGAATTAGACACTCAAAACCTAACAACAAATAAACGCTTAGCTATGTTAAATTCAATAACAAAAGTTAAATCTTTGACTAACCTTGTACAATATATTACATCATTAATTCCCTAAAAAAAAAAAAAAAAAAAAAACCATAATAATAATTGGAGACTGGATGTTACCAATGATTTAACAACAAGGCAATGTGGCATGATTGTTTATTACGAGTAACGAGATAAGAAAAGAAGGAAGAAGAGAAACAAAGGGGAAGAACAAGAATAGAAAATAATAAGAAGAAAAAGAAGGAGACTGGGAATGTTAAACATATTTTCACAACACATTGGTAAACAACAACAATGAAAAACCCAACTCAAAACAACAAAATGAAAACGCCACATTTTAAACAACTTACAACAACTAAATACAAAATGACAATGACATAACAGATTAGACAGCCTCACTTTACAACGTCTGAAGAAAGAGGAAGACCCACTAAAGATCAGGGGAGCTTAGGACTTGTCTTAAGCTCTGGGCTTCCATAACTTATCGAAAATGCTTTCAAATACCCACCTTGGAGAGGACCCATTTATTCGGATAGGGGGCTCTGGACTAGTTCCAGCCGCCCGGGCCTCTCCTACAGATGTTGCTTTTCTTACAAACTCACTACTGAGAGGACCCATTTCTTGGGATAGGGGGCTCTGGACTAGTTCCAGCCGCCCGGGCCTCTCATTTAGCTTTTACCTTTTCTTAAAATATTGGGAGGACCCATACTCACCCCAGGGGGCTCTGGACTAGTTTCAGACGCCCGGGCCTCACCATTAGCTTCTTCTTTCTCTTAAACATTGGGAGGACCCGTATTAATGATAGGGGGCTCTGGACCAGTTTCAGACGCCCGGGCCTCACCATTAGATTCCACCATCTACTACGGGGTGGAGAAAATTTCAGTTCTGCAATGTCGGTTGACATCGTATACCACATTCTTGAACCACCGATTCCATATGTAAGTGGTGTCGGAAAGAAAATGGACAAAGGACTCAAACATCTTTGACTCGAAGTGATTTATTGATCACACGAAGACTACCCAATTGAAAATGAAACTTACACATACTTACAAAATGAACACAGAAACCTGAGAAAGGGACGAAGACAATCCTAACTTAAGAAACAAGACGAAGAAGAAAACGAGTAAATGGAAATGCTCGTAGCAATAAACCCTCATGCATGCATAGTGTAAAGAAAGAAGAAAAATATTAAACAAATCTATTAATACAGTCAATTCTCTTTTAATCTACTCACAACATCTATTCTCTATTAGACAGATAATCAGATAATCTAATTATTTGTTTACCTGTCCTAGGAAAAGTAGCATTTGACATTGACATAAACTATAAAAATATACACACCATTTAAATCGCTCTTCTTAACTCACTTCGAAAGGCACACCATTATGATCGAACCTCTAAATAATATCTTGCACACCGGCATACTTGTAATTCTTGAACTAAAAATACTTTCCTCCCTCCAACACCCATCGAGTTGTACCTCAGGAAAATATCTTAATCTGAATTTCTTAACCTCATAAGTAATCAAAAATCAGATCACGAAACACTACAACAGAAACATCCCGGCCCTTTGGCTGGGTTTATCTATAATATTTTTACTATATACCTATTAAAATTTCAAACAGAACAGACAAGGTGCAGTGTACCAAGGAAGGAAGAGAATAGAGAATGGCAGGACTGGAGAGGAGAGAGCAAGGAAACAGGAACCTGCAATGACAGAAGACCAGAAATTCCCATAATTGTTACAACCAAAAAGGGGAAAAAAAAAAGTTAAGATCTATGTAAATAATGTACATAATGTAATTCTATGTAAATATATATTATATTTACTGCTTTAACCTTCTATCTAAATTTATAAACATAAAGTTTATGTAAATATTTATAACGTCTAATTTCCATTTTCCATGTATCCTGATTACAGATAAATATACATACCTCGCTTCCTCGTCGTCAACTTCCCGTTCAGGAGACAGGCAACCCGGAGAACCCCTGAAGAAAAAAAAAAAGAGAAGATAAAGTCAAAATCAAAACATACATTTTTGATAGAGAAAATTAATGCCCGCTGACTATTTCTTTGCCCGTTCCCTATCGAGGGTTTCGCTGTCTCCCCTGTTATTCTTTTTGATTGGCTTTTTCACCAAAAATATCTTTGACCGCTTTATGGTCCTATTCATTTACTTTTATTGGATTAAACCTGTTATACCGATTGGTGGTGCAGGTAGAGAGAACAATTGTTTTTATTTCTTTTCACTCTCACTTACAAAATGTCCCTATCTACTGGAGGGACGACGACGACGACGACGACGACGACGACGAAGCTACTAGTTCATCCCTGGGTGAGCGGTATCGTTCTGATCTTTTTTTTTCCTATACAACTACCTGAGAGTTAAGAAAAGTTAGCGATAAGATAGCCAAATTCGCCGCGATCATTTTGATACCTAAATTGCCTTATTAACTTTAATATTTTCACCGGGAATTGGATCCGGATTCCTAGCCCTCATCGTGCCCTTCATTCGGGCACGGTGATATGTTCCTGGATCCACTTCGCGCTGGAATTGTAAAAAAAAAATAATTGATCTATCTAGTGAAGCACTAGATTGTGGGGATCTAATTGACGAAGCCAAAATTTTGAGAACGGCGGAATTAACTTTGTAGTCACTGGGAGTCTTCTTTGCTGGCCTTCGCTATGCAATTAAGACACCCTCTCATTCGTTCTTCTTGATCGGTTAGCAAGCTTGGACTTCGTGTTTCCGCAAGGAAACATGCAGGAAGGTTCGAGCGGAGTGGGGGAGGGAGGGGAAAGGGAAAGTGGAGGAGACGAGGGAGGAGGAAGAGATGGAGGAAGAGACGCTGGGGGAGGAAAGAGAGGAGAAAATACGAATAATGAATCAAACAACTTCTCAGATACCGTAACTGCCATTCAGATGAAATTGATTCAACTTCTGAGTAATGAAAAAAAACAAAATCAACAAAGAAACTGGAAGCCAAATCCAACAACTATTTTCGCAAATGCTGAACATTAATATTAAACAGGAAATAGAGATCGCATCCCTTCGTGCTACAGTAACAGAAAAGTCCAAATCTCCAACATATGCTCAGGTATTGGCCGCCAAATCATCGGGGCCACCACCGTCAGGGGGAGAGACAGACGCGGCTGCCCCTCCTGGGCCGGCGGTTGTAGGGAGCGCAGGTCCTGCTGGACAGGCACCGCGGATGGGCCATGCTCTTCTCATCTACTTGCGAGACCCTACCAATTCACCATCTAAGGATATCAAAGTCATGTTAAAAAAACACTTTGAACCCCAAACTCTCGGACTGGGTGAGGTGACCCTTAGAGATATTAGGAACGGAATTGCGGTGCAGTCGGCATCATTGGAAGGCATACAAAATCTGGCTGATGCCATTAATGAACACCCCAGCACTAAAAATGCTTTTGTTCTCCGAAGACCCGCAAAGAGGAGGCCCCAGTTCAGGGTGTCTGGGGTTGACCCAGACCTCCTGTCAGCAGAATTTTTAGTGACTCTTCGGGCCCAGAACCCAGATATTCAAATTGAGGCTGACGAATTCACCATGCGAACCTTTTTTAAAGAAAAATCTGGTAATCAGACTTTTATTTTCGATCTTACCCCTTCGGGGTACAACAAAATCAAACATGTAAAACGCTTAACATTAGGTTGGACCTCGTGCCCATTATATGAAAATTTTTTTGTTCCAAAATGCTATCGCTGCTCTACATACGGACACACTAAAAAATTTTGCCCATCTGAATCTGAGTTCTGCGTGAACTGCGCAGGTAGTCACGCGACGGAGCAATGTCGCGTCATTCGACAAGATGACAAACGATGTCGTGCTTGCGTGACGCGTCGAGTGGATGCCCGGCACCACTTCGGAGCGGTGACTTGTGGAACTTTAGCGTTTCACGAGTCGCGTCTGAGGGGGCGCACTGAGTACCCCACTTAGAACAATACTGTACATAATGTATAGTTTGTATATAGAGAACCAGAAAAGTTGGGTGTACAAAGATCTAAATAATTTGTATATAGGTGGTGTGCAGGGATGTATAGAAAATGAAGTGTTTAGAGATATTGCAAATTAATTTAGGAAAATCTAGAGCAGCTACGGCTCATCTAGAAGAGACATGTTGCGATATTAATCCTAATTTTGTTTTTATTCAAGAACCCCATGTATATAATAAAAAAGTAATAGGAATTCCACTACATTACACTACCATTGCAGCAACATCTCCAAAGTGCGCAATCATTGTACGGGACAAAACATGTTCTATTTTTATATTGCTTTTACAACCAGACATGATAATAGTTAAATGTAATTATGCAGACATAGAAATTATATTAATAAACGTTTATCTGTCCCCTAGAGCAGATTTTCAACATTTTCTACTAAATTTAAATTCCGTAATTAGCCCTTTAAATAACCCTAATTTAATAATTGCAGGAGACTTTAATGCAAAAAATATGCTTTGGGGTGGGAACATCACTGATGATAGAGGAGAGGAGTTAAGTGAATTTTTACTCTTAAAAAATCTATTTCTTTTAAATAATAGAGACTCATTACCGACTTTTGAGTCAGCTAGAGGCACGAGCTGGATAGATATATCAGCGGTTTCGGGAAATTTACTTTCACAGGTTGCTCACTGGGATGTCCTTGAGATTGATAGTTTAAGCGATCATCAATATGTTTCATTTGGATTGTTTAATGCCACAAACACACCAGTCAAGAAGATCACATTACAGGGACTAGTCAAGTTATATAACATAATACAACATGACTCATGGTTTGAAAATATTATCATTCATTCAAATAAAGAATCAATAGAACATGTATTATCTAAATTTTATGATAAATTTAATAGATGGGTTAAACAATGCGAACGTAATGTAAAACGACAAAAACGAACACCATGGTGGATTGCTGAACTCCAGCAAACACGATTACGTAATAATGCCTATCGTAGACGCTATCAAAGATGTAATAACTTCGAATTAAGAAACTCTTATAAACGAGAATATTACGACTATAAACAATATTATAAAGACTTAATTATTTCCGCCAAAATGACCTCATGGCATAGTTTTTGTTATGAAGCAACTAAAAAATCGTTATTCGGAATCCCATATAAACTAGCCTTTAATAAAATAACCACCACTCCACCATTACCTCCTATTATTAAAACGGATTATACATACACCACCTCTCACACAGAATTCATTATATATATACTCAATAATCTTTTTAGAACGGATAGTACCGAAACCGACTCGCAGCTAATTAGCACCCTCAGAGAGCGTATAGTCAGCCCTCATTTAGGCCCTTCTGACCCAAATTTTACATACCAAGAAATAAATACCATTATAATGAATTTAAGAACAAAAACAGCACCGGGATTAGATAAAATTACTGCATCTATGGTTAAGCAACTCTGGCAATATAAGTCTTCGTTTATGTTGTCCCTATTTAATTCCTGCTTAAAAGCTGGACATTTTCCTCACTGTTGGAAAAAAGGTAAAATAATTCTTTTAAATAAACCCAATCGACCTACAGACGAAGTTAATTCATATAGACCAATATGCCTCAATTCAATCTTTGGAAAGGTCCTAGAAAAGTTAATATATACAAGGCTTTATTTTTTTCTGGTACAATCTAAATTAATACATCCTAATCAATTTGGTTTTACCCACCATCGATCATCTACACTAGCGCTTTATAACCTGACTCAGCATCTTGAATACATTAAAGAAAGCTCCAACATAGCGATATTAATCTCTTTGGATTTCTCAGGGGCATTTGATTCTCTATGTTATCCGCTAGTTTTAGATTATTTGCAAATTCATAAATGCCCAAACAACATCTATAGCTTATTATCCTCTTTTTTTGTAGATAGGTCAGTATCCTATATATCATCAAATCTAATAGAAATTAATAAGAAAGTGTCATTGGGATGCCCTCAGGGTTCCCCTTTGAGTCCGGTTCTGTGGAATATTCTAATCAATGATCTTTTATGTATAAAATTCCCACTACATGCACACTTACAAGCCTTCGCCGACGACGTAATCTTGGTTATCAAAGGAAATTGTAGAAGAGAAATCGAAAATCGGGCTGAAAGTATATTATCTATAATTTATAATTGGGCTCAAGAAAGAAAGTTGCTCTTTAATTATGCTAAATGTTTATGTCTTCTAATTTCAAAAGGAACAAAATATCAAAATCGACCTCCATCAGTTATCTTTAATCACCATCGACTCACTTTTCAAAAAGAATTAAAAATTCTGGGAGTAATTTTTGATTCGCATTTATCTTTTTTACATCATGTTAAATACCTTAAAACCAAAGTTGTGCAACATACAGTTAATCTCTCACGTTTCTCATCAGAACAATGGGGAATCACTTCTTCTCAATTTCGAAAAATCTATCTTCTATCAATTGAGAGATATATGGTTTATGGAGCTCCGGTATGGTGGAAGCCAGAGCGGTCTTCTCATTTGAAACGTGGAATGATGTCTGTCCAGCGAGTGCCTTTGCTAAAAATATGTCATGGTTTTCACACAATACCGAATTTAAGTCTTCCAATATTATGTAATATAATACCTATAAATATCACCTTAAATATTGAGGTCTTCATGTTTAAATTATTTCAACTGAAACAAAATGCACAGTTTTATGATTGGAATGTATTATCTAGTGAAGTAGACTATCCCTTTGATATATGGAATATTCACCCAAGTAAAAGATATGCTATTCAATACCAACATTATAACCAACAACAAACTATCGAATGGCACAATGAAATAAATGTTTACACTGACGGATCCGCTTGTCTCGGGCGTGTGGGGGCAGCGTTCGTCTCCCTAAATCAAAATAAAAAAATTTTACAAATCGGCAGATATACATTACCCTCGTATAGTACAGTCTTTGATGCTGAGGCCGTTGCCGTTTTAAGAGGTCTTGAATACTTAAAAGCAGTAAATGGGGGCCAGGACTGCAATATATATACCGATAGCCTTTCGGTTCTACAGGCCTTAGCAAATCCAGTTAATGTAAATCCCATTATATGCAAATTAAAAAAATAATATTATCTCTCTTCAACAGATATGCAATGTTAATTTTTTCTTCGTAAAAGGTCATTCTGGAATTTTCGGAAACGAATTGGCCGACCAGTTTGCAGATTCCGCTCGTCGATTTGGCATCTATGTCCCAATGAAAAAGTCAAAAAAATCTATTAAAGCTCATCTCTTAAATCAGGCCCGGTTAATTTGGAATAACGATTGGGGGGCGGATGGTGCCCATTGCAACTTATATCAATGGGTCCCATCAACTTTGACCATCCCATCTTTCTTCCCTCCTAGCTATTATCTTACACAAATGCTTACTGGACATGGCAGATTTCCATTTTATTTTTATCGGTTTTATATTAAAAATAACAAAGAATGCTTTTGTGGAGAAGAATGCAATGACCTGTCCCATTATTTCGATTCATGTCCCGCGACTCTAAATCATATAAACCAGCTAAATGCTACATTGAATGATACTCACCAGAAACAAAAGATACTTAAATATAATGCAAAAGTAGAAATTTTGATAGAAATGATTAAATACATAAATGCATCAATAGATTAAAACAGTTAGGAAAACAATATTCTCTTGCACTGGCTGCGAGCATGGTCTGGAACGTCTGCAGAAAGAGCTAAGATGGTGGAGAAGGCTACACGAGCTTGATATCATTTGTTCCAACAAATCTGAATTTTGCCACCACATTTTACGCTCTGCCCTTGGCGGGCGACAAGCAAAATATGGCAAAAAAAATGCATGCTATCTGCAGACCGCATTGGAATGGAGGTACGGACAAGATCCGGATACCAGATGTCCATCATACTTTCTTTACATGGCTGGAAGACCCTCCAAATTCGAAGACATGGACTAGCTCCGCTGTCATGGTCTTCTCGTTCTCCATAAATGACTGCCATTTAAATGATGGAACACATTGCATGCCAGCGGAAGACCCATTTCTGGTTAGGGGGCACGGACCAGATCCGGGGCCCGGGCTTCCATTAGATATATATTTATTCAACTCTCGCATGCTTGGAAGACCCTTCTGATTACGTTAGGAGGACACGGACTAGATCCGCAGTCCAGGGCTTCCCATTAGTTTCCCTATACTTGACCTCCACAACCCATGAAAAAAAAAATGCTCGATGCCGTCATTTAATGCAGTTTCTCCGATAATCTCTCAGCCAGTTTTAATACACAAAATCAGGCTAAGAAGTATGATAGGAGCTGCGGGAGTTGAGTTGGGGTGATGTGGCGGTTAATGGCTTTTCTGAGTAGGGTAACGAGAAGGGTGGGGGGGGAGTGAAATGGGTGAGAAAAAAAAAAGAAATTGAGGTTTAACAAATTGTTCATAAAGTCGTCGACCTAATCATTGGGAAAAAAAAACATTCAATGCCAAAAACAAATAACTCTTTAAATATACTTAATTGGGGGAAAAGAATTATGAGGAATTGTAGTCCCGCTTCCCTAAAACAGTAGGAGCACCGCCGAAAAAAAAACAACAGATGAGCACTTGGGGGACAGCGATCTGACAGTGTATTTAAACAGTGAGAAAGTAATTATAGTAAATCAAACCCTTTCTTATTAACCTCTGAAATATAAATGAATCATATGTACAATTCATATAGTCAGAAAAGCATTCGTATAAAATACTTTCTATCAACAGTTTTGGAAACATCTTTGGGATTTTTTCCTTATCTTAGCAAAACAAATTTATATCATTCCGGGAACAAGATAGTTTACCCATTTAACCCGCACTATAAAATCCGCCCTTTAAAATAAAGCATAAACCATACCTACTTAAACACCCCTAAAATCAGCAATCTAAAGGTTGTAACGAAATTAGTCTCTCCTCAATTTGAATCGAAAAGTCGATCACAAACACTACACAATCAAATAAGAGGTGTTATATGTTATCCAAATAGACA